TGACTCTGTGACAGAAGGCAAAAGGCAGCTTATACACTGGCATCAACGCTTCATCTCCAAAAGGAGATCTCCGTGTCTAACCCCCGCAAAAGCTGAGAAACCACAGGGGGAAAAGCTAAATTACCATTGTGTGTGTCTGCCAAGTGGCCCCGTTTTGAGGGCAGCTTTCAGTGCTGTTGAAGTTGTGGCTCTTGCCATTATCTTCATAAAGAATATAATGTATCTCCAAACTGTCCTTGTTGTTCACTGCAGCTATTGAAAAACCTCCAGGTGGGCACTGCACCCTAAAACCTTAGGTCCTCCATGTCGCTTGAACAAATGGGACAGGTTGTGAATGCCTGTCTTATGCCATGGTTTAAACTGGGCTGACAGCTGGTTTGAGAGCACCAAACGAAAACAGAAACAAGGAGTCATGGGAAGGAGAGTGATGTAGTGGGTCCCTACGATGCCAGCAGGTTTACTCTCTCCTGCCATATGCTGATCCTGCTAGGTAAAGGATAGACTGTTGTATGTTAAGAGAGAAAATGTAGACTTTTTAAGGCTGACTTCCTAATTCAGGAGATGGTGGAAGTTTTGGGTTGTTTGGGTTTTGGTTTGTGTTGGTTGTTTTCCTTTCTAAATGATGAAATGCAGTGCCTTTTATTCCTAACAAACTCACCAGGCAGTTGGAGTCCATACTCCGTGTTGAGCAGATAACAAAGTTCCTTCTCTGAGTTTGGGTGGGGTCTTCCAAATAATCCCTTAAGTACCCTGTTTGTTTTCTTGCTGTAAAGTGACACTTGTCTTTGAAGGAAAAAACCAAAACAAAACAAAGTCAAATAGAGAATAACTCAGAGCAAACAGTAGAAAACATTTCCTAACAATAAGGGCTGGAAGGCTCCGCGTTCCTTGTGAAAACAACCATGAGTGCAAGAAGCTGCACCCCAGCCACGTCGGGGAACCATGGGAAAGTCACTCTCTGGAAAAAAATGGAAGAAAAAGAGTTTCCAACCCAGTGATTGTTTAACTCCAGTCACAAAGGCCAGATATAATACGATTAGACCTGATACCAAGTTTAGAAGCCATTGTCAAGTGTGTTTGTAGCTAAGTGGCAGAGGTTTGTGGCTGGATTTAGCTTTGGGACTGTGGGGCAGCAGAAGGGAGCTCCTCGCAGTGGCCCCCGTGGGTAGGTGGGGCTGCTGGCCGGGAGCTTCACCTCCCCACCCAGGGACGAGTCCTACTGCGGTGAAGCCACAGTCCAAATGGACAGGAAACGGACGTGACAGATGAGACAGACTTGGGGATAATGGCTCCCGGGGTGCAGGCTGCGTGGCGGGTAGGGCGGTGGTGAGACACTGCTGGATGAGCTGCAGGCTCCATTAGGCTGAAACAGGAGCACTGTATGGGATACATATTACTGATTGAGGGCCGGGGCTTACTGGATAAAGGCAAGCTGCTCTACGGTACGGTTTCAGAGGGCCACTTACGCTGCAGTGGAGGAAAAAAGCGAACTGAAGCTGTGCATTGGACAAATAAGTCAATGAAAAGATCTGGGTGGGAATGTGCACATTGCCTGATATGATTTGGTCTCCCAAATGGCCTTAAACAGCCCATAGAATGTCTATGTCTAAACCAGATTCCAGCAAAGGAGGCCTTTTATGATGCACTAATAGGCTCATTAGGCTTTCTTGAGCAAGGCACGCTCGCAGCATCATATGTTTTTTCCATTACAGGAATTACATGTGTTTTGTTGTGCTTTGAGTTTTGTTTTGTTTTCCACATAGACTTGCCCTGACAGTTCCCCCATTCAGGTTTATATTGGAGGTACCATCTCGAGCCAATGAATTTTATGAAATATGTTGCTGGCACTCGCAAAGAGATGCATAAAGGAAATATTCTAATGACAGTTGGAAAGGCTTTGATCCCTTTCCAAGACTGCACTCATGTCGTTGAAATGCGAGTTTGGCAGTGCTGGAAAGGCTGGGCTCTTTGGCTCTCTTTGGCACGAGCCCATGTGACAGACATTATGTCCTCTATCAGGGGACCCACATAACCTTGAGAAGTGTAAGCAATGCTCGCAGATTGCGTTGGGTCAGATAGTCTGGGCTGATAACAAAGCAGCCGCGGCAGCAGGGGGGAGTCAGCCTAGTCCAACACAATAACTGAAAACTATTTTGACCTGGTAACTGTTGGGTCTGCTGCCTGCGGCTACGGAGTTGGACATGAACTGCGAAAGTAGTTAATTTATGCCTCCTTGAGTGTAGGAATGTGGTGATGATGGATAGGGATGGGAGGTTATTAGAAACATGGGGAGGAAGGAGAAGATGGAATTCCAGCTCGTGTTTTTTATCTCTTACACACACACGCTAGTTCCTTTGAGTACGTACTCTGGGCTGTCTTGCATGTGTGCACAGTCCAAACCCTTGCTTACACACTCACACCTCTTCATGCACGCACATGCAGGCACATGTTCGCACGCTTACAGAGGATGTGCCTGAGCTAAACGCTCAAGCATGTATACGTGATGGGGGTTGCTGACTGCTGCTACAAAGGGGTTTGCTTTTACTCCCTTCCAAGCAAGCTCTGTTTGCACCTACTCCTGTGCAGACCCTTTGCTAAACCTCCTCTTAGCGTTCTGTTCTTACACCATTTGAATATATGCTGCTCATTTGCAGACGTTTGTTGGCTAGCAGAGAATTAGTGATCAGAGAAATACTCTAAACCCAAGTCCAATTGACTTAGTACAGTGGATTTACGTAAGATGTGAATTCAGTCTCGGTGATGCACTGACATCACTGGACAATTAGTTAAATGCTGTCTGCTCTGGATGTTGTCTGCAGTAGTAATCCGTGTACAGAACAGCCCTAGATGCTGAAGCGTGTAGCCTGTACCCAAGTCTCACAGAGCGATGGTGGCTGTGCGCTGAGGATAGAAATGGGGATTGGATTGTGCAAACAATAAGCAAAAGAGCTGAGAAAAAAGAAATACCAGTTTAGATGATTTGAAACCAAAAGAGAAGAGTGAGGATAAAAATGGTAATCTCAGGAGGGGAGCTGGATTATAGTTACTCCTCCAGGGATTTGCATAGGCTGTAAAGCATCTGCATCCAGAGTCAACAACCACAGGCTCAATATAGACAGTGGGTCCTTCCCTCCTGCTGTGATACAAAACACACAAACATTTTTCTACTCAGAGGTACGCAGTGCTTCTGTTTCTGTCCTTTTCTCTCTTGCACGGTCTCACATCACTCCCACGTTCTCTCTTACACTTTTGCTCACTGCCTTTTCCTGATGCTGCCACCTGTGCAGGCATACGCATCGTCCCCTTGATGTACACGTGTTCTCTGTCACATATCCCCTGATGCACTTACACTTTCATTTGGAAATGCACATTAGTTCTCATATACAATTTCAAACTATTGCTTCTGGACACGTATGAGCCCACGTTTGGAAAAGATGTTTTCAAAGGTACAAAGAAGATCCTGGAAATAGATTCTGCGCAGCCTCAGAACACTGTGGACACATGCAAAACAAGCTTGAGGAGCTAAGGGAAAGATCTGTGTATTTTCCATAGATTTGTTGGGAACAGCAGAGAGATGAGAAATGCATAAAGGGTCACAGCGCTGACCTGTCCTTCAGGATGTCATCCCCATCCATCAGAAGATAAACACTGTATGGAATGGAAACATACCCTTCCACTGGTGTCCCCAAAGAGCACGTCTTCCTCCATGAGTCAGCGAGGGCCTGGGGACACCCTGCCATGAACTATTTTGGAGGCAATGACTTCAGCAAGTGGCAGGGGAAGCTATTGTGGAAATATGAATGTATTTTCCATTGGGGAGTCCTCCAGGGAAGGACAGAAAGATCTTGGTGCTGAGCCAACTCCCCTATTTTTTCTTTACCCTTCTGGGAACGAAAGCCTTGTCAAGTATGCGAGGAACCCTCCTTACTGACTGCAAGTGCGTTCGGTTTGTGGGAGCTGCGTGAGCCCTACACACACCCATCCGCATATGGAAAGGGGGACTTTAGGAAGCAGAAATCAACCTGCTCTAGACCATTGTGGTGTCCTTTGCTGACAAGCTAGTCAACCGTGCTTGACTCAGTGTGACCTCTCTCTCTGTTGTTTCCACCTGTCGAGTGAGGATAGTACAACTTATCTGTGGTTTAGATCTGGTGTTAGCACAACCCTTCGTATCAAAACACAACATGAGCTAGAAACAGAGAACCGATGGGTTTACTCTTACGCTTCACTTTCTCCAGCTTCCGAGTTGGAGCATCACGGAGCCCTTGAAAGCAGCAAGTAGCTCCTGTATTCCAGTATTGACAGTTTTCTCCTTTAAAGGGGTGCAAAAGGTGCTTGCAATGGCCATCAAGCTTAAGGGATTGCTCTGGCACGCCTAGACATCCCCTCTCTTCAGGACAGGGACCTAGGGAGCCTTAGGAATGTATGTCATGGTATGGTACCACTGCTGTGGTGCAACTTTGCTTGCTGGAAATAGCAATTGCCAAACAACAGTCGTATGTCAGGGTTGGACCGTGTCCATCTCAGCACAAGTGACCGCCACTGTGGGCAAGAAGTAACTTTGTGAGCTGGTGTTAGTTGTTGCACCAGCCTGGAGATGTGAAGCTTGTTATTGTGAAGGAAAATTAGAGGAAACAATAATAAGCAACTTAGAGGAAATGTGCAAGGTAACTGCTGATATAAAAAGATTTACTGACCATAATGCATTGTTAATTGTGTTCATAATAAATAGATTCCTATACTTATCTTAGGAATGTGGACAGCTTTATGTATTTACCTTGGATTTTGTGGCCTTGGTTAATCAACGGCCTGAAGTCCTGAGATGAGATCCACTATACAAATGCAAAGTAATTGAAGTTTGGGAGTGTGTTATTAAAATATTTCAGGTGACTGATACGCAGGATATTATAAGATCTTTGCCTGGATTGCAGCACTTCTTCAATACTTTGTTGCTTTTTGTGTCACCTTTAGAAAACAAGAATGTTTTTCTGTTTCTACAGAGCATATTTAGATGTCAATGAACTAAAGAACATCCTCAAACTGGATGGATCCACACACCTTAACATCTTCTTTGCCAATTCCTCCGAGGAAGAGCTGGCTGGAGTGGCAACTTGGCCCTGGGACAAGGAAGCCTTGATGCATCTAGGTGAGTGATAAAGATGTTTCTTCTTTGTAAAGCATTCTTTTGAGGCGCTGAGAAGAGAAGACAAATATGCATTAAGCTCTGTTCTGATTTCTTATCATTCCTCTAATATATAGTCAGGGGAAAAAAAGTATTTCACGATTCCCAGATACTGGCTCACAACCAGGAAAATATTAGGTTATAAACCCAAAGCATATTATGGTATTTGTAGATGATGTCACGCTGAAAGTATTTCACCTTTTAAGTGAAGCTACTTTACAGGGCATTCACTCCATGGGAGCACTTTGCGAAGAAGATTGAGGGGGATAGGTAGGGGGATGCCAGACAGAAGTGAATTTTTAACCTCAGCCTGTTACATTTTGATGCTTAGTTCATTATTTAGTAAGTTCAATTAATTTTCCTCATGGACTACAGTTAAAATTTGTTGCTATTTTTTTCTGTACCAATGTGCAAAAGAGTAAACTGCTGAGAGGTTGTATTTCTAATGTTCATTTGAGTGGAACTGGAAAGAGCTCGCTACCCTGCCGATTGCCCTGCGTGTTTCATAACTAGGTTGCTGAGTATGGCTGCTGGAACCCAGGGATCCAGACAAAGCTGTGCAACCTCCCAAATGACTCATTGCCCTGACACCTGCAGTGCCGCTGGACCTGTGTTCCTTGCAAAATGTCAGATAAACCTCAAAAGGTTCAGAAGGCATCCGCTGAGTCTGTATGTACTTCTATTAACTGCACAAACTTCCCTCGGGCTGCAAACCTGATCTGATTGTCTTACGAGAGCAGGGATTCTCACAAGTTTTCCAGATATTTCTCCAGCTTGTCCGGACCTTCCTAGGCTAGAAGTGAAGTCCTGTTTCAGCCAAGTTCAGTCTCTGTGAAAGGCTGTTTCAGCCAGTTTTTACGTTACCCAACCCCATGTTGAGCAAAACAAAAAAGATGTGGCAAATGTAAACTCAGACAAGGAGAGCAAAATATGGTGTTATTCTAAAGCATACTATGAGAGCTGAGCTACAACTTGAGCCATCAGTCAGGGAGGCTTTTCCATGTTCAAAAATACCTTACCCCAAAACCTAGATGTTAGCATTTCTTTATAGTCACCTGCCTCCATAGCTGAGGGAGGCTCTGTGGTCAGACCAAGCAGTTGGAGCTGGCTGCCCTACTTCAGTTCGTAAACGTTTTATTACGACATCCAGCTCCAAAGCTGCTCTGGAAGAAGTGTGAGCAAACTTCCCTTCCCAAGGACTGGGACTGACACACATCCAGTCTCCTGCCGAGCTAGGCTGGAACTGAAGCCACTTCCACTCTGACTTGCCTCCAGCCCTGTCTCCAAGGGCTTCTGCTGGGAGCACCCAAAGCAGAAGATGCTGTAAATGCCTGCCACTGAGTATTCCCCATGGCAACATCTTCTGGCCAAAAAAAAAAAAAAAAAAGATATTAACCCCAGCCTCAACCAGCACCTGTGCTGATGGGATTTCGGTCACTCTGTAGTCCCACAGCCCCCTAGTCCTGCACTAGCCCCACAGTAACTCTGCTTCTGGTTGTGCAACCCGATGGGTTGCTGGTGGGAACCGTTAGCCCTAACACCACTCCTGGAGTGAAATAAGGCTGCAATAGAGCTGATCCTTCCCTAAATGAGTATTTTCACAGCTTCCCTTGCTGTTACCATGGGAGGAAGCAGAGAACAAAGGAAGACCTCCAGAGCACCAAGAAGAACCTTCTGCAAGAGGGCTGGGGCTCACAGAGAGCCCTGATATGTTCTTCTGTCACTTCGTTAAGCTAATTGTCAACATCAGGCCTGAGCAAAACAATTTAAATTCAGCTCTTACAGCATATGGACAAAATTCATTGACCAAAAAAAGATCTCACGAGAGAAAAAAAGACATTAGCCGACAGTTTAAAGTTGACTTGCAGTAGAAAAAAAAAAAGTAAAAATAAATAAATAATGGTCATAATTTCCTGTGATAATAGCCCTCCCAGACCTGCGCTTGGTCTGTAAGAATTCATCTTTAATCTTTTTTACTCTCTTCTATAAATCCAATATGTACTTAATAAAAAATATGAAATATGTCCTGTGGTGCAGATCTAAAGGCTTGGATAGAGATTGTCTGGGTGAGGGAGTTTATCTTTTTTGTAAAACTGCAATTGATTTAGATTCTTGACAGCTGTGAAAAATATAAATTTTCAACAAAGGCCAAAATAAAATCTCCCTCTCCAGCTGCCTCAGGGCTGTCCAATGCCAGAACCGTTTACCCAGCCTTTATTTTGAAGCCATGTCCTGCTGAGGAATTTCACCAATATTCCTGCCATTGGAAAATAAAATCTGAAATCATCTTTGGGAAAGAGACCCCCAGAAACCAATGCACCATGGTACTCTCTGGGTGTAAATGGCTCCATATGGGTAGAGCCCAAGCACTGGAGGAATCAGAGCATGTATTGCATAAAGGGGGAGAGAGGGATACACGGAACATGGGGATTGCAGCGGCTGGGTACTGGTAGATCTTTATAAAATGACTTGGAATTGTAGAGAACTAGTGGAAGGACCAGTTCAGTGCTGTGAAAAGAATGTGCAGATGCTGCACGTGACATAGTAGACATGGTGTTGCAGTGTGAATGATTTTATTCAGTTTTTTGTGGCTGTATTTAAATTTTCAATTCAATTTTTTCATACTATGCGCGTACTTGTACATGCCTGTGTGACTCCTCTCCACTGTGGGCACACAGTCACACATGCCCAATGGGAAAGTCTTTTCTTTATTGCTATGTCTACATGTGTCCTAGCAAGACATCCAGAGTGGTCCTTGCTCTCTTTTACATTGATAAAATTTAAGCTGGAACGCTGTATTATGTGTGGACACTGTACTTGAAGGAAAATGTGGGATGACTGGGAAAACCAAAGGACAGCAACAGTCAGGGAGGTCTAGAAAAAGGCTTGAGCTACAAGGAAAGGTTGACTGGATTGCAATTATTCAGACTGAAGGAAAGAGCCCGAGGTGGGGATGATGACAGTCTCATAAAAGCTGATGAAAGGGGAGGAGAATCTTCTGTTCTTCGTATTCGTGTGAGACAGGAATTGAAGTAATGAACTTAAATTGCCAAAAAAAAATCAATTCAGATTAGATGTGAGTTAAATCCTTGCAACTGTAAGGATGCTGAGTGCTGAAATTGATTGCTGGGACAGTTATGTCATCAGAGGTTGTGAAGAGACCTCAGGCTAATCTGTGTGAGGGATGGTATAGACCTCATTGGTCCTCTGTTGTTTGAGAGTGGAATTTAGATAACTTCTTAAGATCTTTTCAATCTTATTTTTCTCTAATTCCGTGGCTATTGCAACCAAGTCTACAGGCAGATGAGCAGGAAGACTCCATGGTGCGTCAGAAACCAGTGATCTCATCTTCCCTGCACTAGTCACTGATAAAGTCCCTCCTGCCAAAACATTTTCTCTCATTCTCTCTAAATTGTTAGTGTACCATATCCAAGATTTATTTTCCCAGTATAACTTTTACAAAGCATTCTACTGTTCTTGTGGTAGGCAATATATGTAAACAACTTTAAATAAGAGGCTTGGAAAAGTTGAGGTCAACAAGCTAAATAGAGAAAATATGAATCATATAATAAACCCAAAGGTACAGCTAGCTGAGCTAAATGTATAATTCTTATGATTAATTCAATCCATGGTAAAGCCTCACGAATTTACTGTTTACTTGTCTACACATCCCCTAATTCATACAACCAAAAAATCATGATTGGTTTTCTTTGTGCACATTTAACAACCATGCAGTTCTTTTAGAATTTCATATTTTTGACACATTAGACTTATGCATATTCATTAGGGGACTGTGAGGCTCAGATCACGCTAGGTGTGTGTGAGTGCATGAACAGAGTGTGTTTCTGACAGTTACTTCAAAGCTGTCTATATGATCAGAGCACACCCGACAAAAACTGTTCCAGCCTTGAGTGTGTTCTGTTTTCTTTGTCCAGCTATTAGTTTGCAAATATTGGTGCAACCTACTGCAATTTTTTAGGGTTTTTCTGAAGTTAATAGGCTTCTATTGTGTCTTCAGTCTGTGGAATTATATAGAGAGTGTTCCAGGTATGTTTTGTTTGACTCTTGGTATCAAATGCATTGCTTACACTTATCTGGGCAGAATAATTCTGTCTAAACACACTAAATAATTTGAAATTGCTTAGTATCGGGGAGTGCAGTGCTAGGATGAGGAGTAACGGTTTTAAGCTGAAAGAGGGGAGATTTAGATGAGATATTAGGAAGAGATATTTTATTGCAAAAGTGGTGAGACACTAGAACAGGTTGCGCAGAGAAACTGTGGGTGCCCCATCCCTGGAGGGGATCAAGGCCAGGCTGGATGAGGCTCTGAGCAACCTGGGCTAGTGGGAGGTGTCCCTGCCCATGACCGGGGGTGGGACTGGGTGATCTTTAAGGTCTTTTCCTACCCAAACCATTCTGGGATTCTATGAATTGCAAGTAGAATTTTTCTTTGAGTTAACAAACCAACCAAACTGACCATATTCAGTGGAGACCGATTGTCGCTGTGTTTTTAGTTTAGGACGTTGGACTTTGTCCTATAATTCCTCATCCTTAGAGCCCCAGATTAAGGGTGAGATTAAACCTTGCTGTGCAGTTTCTCTGGGCAGGCAGTGTGCCTGATTGTGCAAAAACCAGTCTGTGCTATAGAGGATCTGATGAACTGCCAGTGGGTCTGTCCTTAGGATTGTCTTTCTTTCCTTTTCTCTTGCTGTTGTGAGGAAGACAAGACAAGCGAAGCTCTTCTCTTTTCCCCTTGCAGGTGGCATTGTGCTGAATCCCTCCTTCTATGGAATCCCTGGCCACACACACACGATGATCCATGAAATCGGGCACAGCCTGGGGCTCTATCACGTCTTCCGGGGAATCTCAGAGATCCTCTCCTGCAGTGATCCGTGCATGGAAACTGAGCCCTCCTTCGAGACTGGGGACCTCTGCAGTGACACCAACCCTGCTCCTAAGCACAAGCTGTGCGGGGATCCTGGACCTGGCAACGACACATGCGGTTTTCACAGTTTCCTAAACACGCCGTTCAGTAACTTCATGAGCTATGCAGGTACTTGGGTTTCCTTGGTTTGCTGTTGGTGTCGGAGGTTGGGCAGGACCAAGAACATCAGTATTACCTCTGAGTTCTCCAGTCCATTTAATGCAGGGCTTTATGCTGATGTGTGTGTCCATAGGACTAGGACCAGAATTGACGAAGGGTCAAGGTTGATGGCTTCAGGAGTCCCTTCCTCTTCTCCTGTTCTTTTTTCCCAGTTTTGTCCAACTTTACATAGTTTCAGGTGATGACCAGGCAGAAGGTTTGGAGGAAGGAAGAAATGAGATAAGCATTAAGAAAACAGCTTCTGAAGGCTCTACAGAAAATTTGACACCCTGTTTCCCTGGGATCTGGATGCCTGATCTATGAAGTCTTCTTTGAAAAACCCAAATTCAGAGATTGTTTACCCTCTGCCAAGGAGATATCAAACGTCCGATGAATGTTGATACCACCAAGGCTGTAGGATAACAACCTGTAGCAACCTGGGCTAGTGGGAGGTGTCCCTGCCCATGGCAGGGGGGTTGGAACTAGATGATCTTTAAGGTTCCTTTCAAACCAAACCATTCTATGATAAATCTGTGATAGGTAGACATCTAATGAGACACTGCTCGTGCCTACAGGTGTCTGAATACCATGTTTATTGTTTCATTTGGAGTCACTGTTGTTCAGCTAGAATCCCTCACAACTGAGTTTCGTCATTAGAGTGTGAATACTGGGATAGTACCTGGATCAGGACTGATCTTCTGGTCAAAGTCTACCTGTGTGCTGGGCTGCTTTGTGCTGGGAGTGCAACCACAAAGGTTCGGTGTCAGTGCAGTAAAACCACCCATCCAAGAGGTGTGAGCTGCTTGAGCAAGAGCCTGATTTTGTAGTTACACCTCTGCAGGATTCTGTAGGCACAGCAATACTGCTCAGGGATGTCTGTTCATGGCGCTTCTACCAACAGAGCGTAGCACAAGGAGGGCATGAGCTCCTGTGACCCTTGTCCATCAGATGAGGACGGGGTGGGGTCCTTGCTGCACCCCTGGGAGGTCAAGGGGAGTTGAAGGATCTTCTGTTATTTCCCAGAAAGAACAGGGGATACCTTGGCTTGTATTTCCCTTTATTTTGGGTCACAGAGTGTAGCCATGGTAAAGGTCTGTGACACTGAGCTGACAGCATCAACAACATTTTAAAGGTGAGTAATATACTTACAGCCACTGAAGGGCACCTTTTTACTCCAGGCGAAAACACAGATTGCCCACTCAAAAGGTCATAGGAGTGCTTATTCTGTAATAAAACTGTAGAGAAGCAAAGTGTTTAATGTCATCTGGGGCACAGACTGAAATGATTTATAACAGAAATGCTTTTATGCCCTTCATGGCACTAGCTAAAAGTGATGCTTAGTTTTCTCTTTATTTTTCTGTTTGTTTAGAGGGTGTTTTCGAGGACAAGCATACACGCACTGAGCCAGCTCCTCGGTGTGCTGTGCACTTTAGTGCATGCGGTAGGGCAGAGTCTTACTGCGCGGTACAGCCCCCTGGTAATGGCACACAAATAAGTTGGTGCCACTTCAGATGACAATAACCCTCCACCAGATCTGCTGGTGTGTATGTGGCGGGAGGTGGAGCGTACTTGTTTCAAAACCCTGAGGTCTCTTCTTCTAAAGAGAACTTGCCTTGCCAATTCTCTGGAGAGCTGAGACAGAGAGACAGACCACAGAGATGCCTATCTGCTCTTGGGAGCTACTTCTGTGCATATGTGCTGGTGTTCTGAGCAGAAACCGTTTTTTTTTTTTTTTTTTTCTTGAAAAATTCAGTGAAGCAACATGATAGGCATCTCTAGAGCTCATGCATGAATCTGTTTGCTTTTCAGTTTTTGCCAGTGGAATAAAAATATATCAAGATATCAAATTGCTGTAGAAACACCTTTGAAACATCTAGGTTGAGGTCATGGAGCTCTAAACATTGCCTTTCTTTCCTTTCTGTTTTGCTGCTTGCATACAGTTTGATTGTATTGTTTGTCTGTCTGTCTCAGCCTAACATCCGTCTGTCCAGTTACCCCCAGCTCTGTAGCAAAGCACTGACCTAAAGGGTGCCTTTTCTTTCCCTGAAGGAGCAACTCACGATGTCCAGAAGATCTAGAAGTGTGAGATATTGGACTTGTAAATTATTTTTACTATTCCAAATAGCTGTGGTCTTCCCAAATAAAAAGATTAGTCAGTCTTTTAGACTACTCTTCATGAAAACAGCAGTAATTCTGCCTCTGAATTCTGTTGAAACAATCATCCCAGCAAAGGCTCTTGAATTTCTCTAATTATTACTTCATCTGAGAATCTTGAACCTTTATTGAAACCAAGTGAAATACCTTTCTCCCTCCCCTCTCCTCCCTCTCCCTCCCCCAGGACACAGCCTGTGCTGGTGTTCAAACAGATTGAGAATGCAGGTCATCTTTCTCCTGTGCCATTGTCTCCCCGCTTTGTCCTATATATATTTTATTGTTCCTTTATGATGGCTATTAAGGGCCTTTGTCTCCTTCTATGCTTCCGTGAAGAATATTTATGGCTTTCACAGCATGCTCAGGGATTGACCATCGATAATTATTGAGGAAATCCAGAGATGTCATTTTAAAGCAGCTTTTTGCATACCCACAGGGATTTGTAGACTTTTTCAAGCTGGTGGTGTCTGTCTATCTGCTGTGCATGTTTGGTGAGAGGAGGTTCCCTGCTCCGTGGAATTAGGAGAGATGCAGGAGGGCATGTGCACCGCCGTGTCCTTCCTGCGGCAGGGCTGCAGCTGGGGTTGTAGTTTGAGCAGGATCCCAACCGAAGCCGTTTCCTTTTGCTTGTGTCTCAGGGAAAGATGTGGCAAGGTTTTAAATTAGCCAGCACATTCACACTTCTCTTTAGGATGAATTCATAGATTTTCATTCCTCTTGAGTTCCGCAGGGCACGGACTTGAAGACATCAGAGCATCTAGTAGCGCTATGAGAATATTGAACTGCCAACTTACACGCACACAAGCGACTCTCTGAGCAGCCTTGGGTGACCTGCATCTTCCCGGAAAAGTGTTATTACTTGACCTGTGCAGAACCGTCATTGTTGTTTGTATCGCGGCAGCATGCAGAGGTCCCATCTGGGACTGAGCTTTGCTGGGCTGGGAACTCTGCAGGCACATGTGAAGAAACGCTCGGGGTTTTCAAGAGCTTTTCATCTGATGGGAAGAGTACCAGAAAAATTGTTAAAGTGCTAGCATCGAGTTGTTCAGCATAGCTTTGCTGGGTGACTTTGCACAACATATTTCTTCCTTCTGTGATCTGCACAATAGAGAAATAGTAATTTTCTGCTTCTCCAGGGCATTGTCGTTGTAGTGTTGTATGGTGTTCAGAGGGCACTAGATGTGTTCTTGTTGCCAAATCATGTTTGGGAAAAACAGATGAAATGAGAAATGGATAGTTATGGGAAATTATCCAGCAAAGTTATTTCTCCATTTTGAATGAAAGAGAAATTTGAAATATCAAAAATGTTTATGGGAAGTTCAAAAAGAGTTAGAATATTAATGGTAATGGGGCAGATCTTTAATAGAAATAAAGTTATTTTACTGCACTAAACATTCACTCTTTTAAACAGTGTTTGTAATGATTTTTTTTTTTTGATTGGTATTTTGGAACATTTTTATTTTTACATTAGAAAAATTTAAGAACTTTAAAAATTATGTGTTTTTAAAATTCTATCATTTTAAGCTAAGAAATCTGCCAAAGTCTGTTGCACACAGTTTGCATGAATCTCAGTCAATGCTTTGTCCTAACATTAGCCACCCTTGGCCCTTTTATCCTCTCTCAGAGATTTTCTTTCAGACACAAAATTATTTTAAGCCCAGGGGCCCACTGGTAGCCCCAGCTCTGACCAGAAGGTGCTGCACTCAGGCTTTCTCTTTCTTCACCTCCACGTGTCCGTCTCATCTTGGGATGATCTCTAGGTGCTTCATATCTAGCCCAGACCAGGGGCAGAGAACATTCATTGATTTATTTTTTCCTTTTTAACTTTTGCTTCCTTTCACTTGCCTCCACAAGCGATGACCGCACTGATTTGTTCCCGGGACGTTATCTTTGGAGCACTGCAAGAGCCCAGCGCAGCCCTTGCAGGAACCCACCATTCACCAGGTCGTAATTCTCTCTCTTGCTTCCACCTTCTCTCATGTGGTTGATGTGGTTTCTGTTTTCATTTCAGATGACGACTGCACCGACTCCTTCACGCCCAACCAAGTGGCCAGGATGCACTGCTACCTGGACCTCGTCTATCAGAGCTGGCAGCCTGCAAAGAAACCAGCTCCTATTGCAATCGCCCCCCAGATTGTGGCTCGGACTTCCACCTCTGTCACCCTGGAGTGGTTTCCACCCATCGATGGGCACTTCTTTGAAAGGTGATCACTCGCTGCTCTGTACTCTTGCTCTGAATTAAATAGGAAGGGGTGAAATAATAGGACAAGGGGGAATGGTTTTAAACTAAAGGAGGAGAGGTTTAGACTAGATATAAGGAAGAAATATTTTACACTTAAGGTGGTGAAACACTGTCCCAGGTTGCCCAGGGAGGTGGTAGATGCCCCATCCCTGAAAACGTTCAAGGTCAGGTTGGATGGGGCTCTGGGCAATCCGATCTAGTGGGAGATGTCCCTGCTCATGGCAGGGGGGTTGGGCTAGATGACTTCCAGTGTGTGAATAGATGACCTCCATGGTGCCTTCCAACCCAAACTGTTCTATGACTCTAAATAGGGGAACAGCCTGGGGCCCCACTCCGGGAGCACAGCCTTGTCATGTGCTGTGCTCAGTCTGGGCTGAGGCTCTTTCCTAAACTGCTTCATGTTGAGGAGGTTATTGATCTGTTTTCTGCTCTGCTTTTCTCAGCCTGTAGCACTCGCTTGAGGGACATTGATTTGCCATGTAAAGGGCAAATCTTTCTCCATACGTTATGGGAAGAATTTCAATTGACAATTCTGGCCCTGTGATTCCTTTTTTTTACAAATACCTGTGGGCTTCAGCACCGCCTGCACCTTCTCCTTCCTCCTTTTGCACGTTTCTTTTGCAAGGACAAGGTGAATCTTGTTTCTACTCCCATGACAACACAGAGCTCATGGGCAGTGGCGTGTGGCAGGGCTGGGAAGAGGGACAAATGCTGCTCTGTCCCTGAGCTGCAGGTCTGAGCAAAGCAAATACCTACCACCCTGAATATCATGCAAGTGGCATCTTGCTGCACCCTGAGTAGAGCATGTAGGTCAGAGTAGGTGTGTTCATGTCTGATGGGCGTGCAGCTCCGTGGTGCCAATAACGAAAAGTTGAATGAATGCAGGGCTCTGGACAGCACTTGCACCACATTGCAGTTCACAGGTGGAGCAGCTCTACTCCAGGATGCCCTGAGCAACTAGGTAGTACATCTAAGTACTCTTACACAGCGCTTGGATGAGCTGCGAGAGCTATGGGAGTCCTAGCAGAGAACTTCTGAAATGATTGACCTTCTTGCGTTACCGTTAACTCACCATCCCTGTTTGCATTTCTTCTCCACTTCTGCTTTGTTGTTTTATAGAGAACAAACTCTGAGTGTCCTTCAGGGCTGTTAGCAGTGTGTAGCACGGGAGGCCGAATTTACAAGCATATTAACGCCCAAAGAGCTGTCTCAGCACTGCTGCTTTGTTCTGTGAGAGCACCTTGAGAGCCACTGCCTCCGTCAGGGATGGAACTCCTTCCAGCACCGCTAGGACACCACGGCCATTTCGGTGGCCAGCTTGCACTTTATCTGAGTAGGCAGATAGCTGTTGCTTTCTGCTCAGATTAGATTGTCCACCTTTATTGCAGATTAATTTTTGGGGGGGCAATCAAATCATATTAGGAGTTGGTAAAGAGAGGTCTTGTGCTCTGAAGAGTGTTTGCTTTAATTGCAGTTTTGCAACTGAATCGTTTTATTCCCTACGTGTGAAAAGGACTTATATGAAGTTCTGAAAATTAATTCAGAATTTTTTTAGCCCGTAATAATTTTTAGGTAAATTAAGTTTCTCAAATTTAATTTAGATTTCAGAAGATACTTATTGTGTGTTAAATAAATACCATCTGCCTCTTAAAACACATTGATGCAGAGTTAATTGTTTTGTAACCAAATACGTCTTTATTACATATTTTTTATAATTCAATCAATATGTTCTTAATAACCCCTAGTTAGTTGCTTCTTAAATAACATACAGGGGATAGTCTGCTAAATATAAAATTTCATAACAGAGTTATCATATGTTAAACAAATAGTGATTTTCTAGAAAAAAAGAAGTCCTTTGGGTTTTCAAATCAGTGCGCTCAGTATGACTGAAGAGATTTAAAGAGACAGCCTCAAATACTTCAAGTCCAATTCCTTGCTAAAATGAGATTCCCAAAGCTAACAGATGCAGAAATGTTACTGTGACCACTTAAAAATGTCACTGAAATATGTAAATCATCCTGTCTAAGACGTGCCCAAGTTTCTGATACGTTAATCAAAACAAGGACGACAGTGGTATTATGGTGACTAGTACTGGAAAGGCTGACGTGCTGAACTCCCGGTCCCGATGTGTCCAGTTCTGCTCGGTTAGAGATACGTGCCTGTATCAATTTGTGAAATTGGGGCACTGTGCAAGACAAGTAGGAGGTAAAATTGGCCAAGGATAATCTTATCTGTGTGTGGGAATACTGTAAATCTTTGCAGATATTTTTACACAAAGCGCACACCATGGCCCAAATTTTACTTGCCTCACTTGAATGAATAAACTCATTCACTTCAATGGGACTATTCATGGAAAAAACAGAAGACTGCTACTCCACTGCTGAGCGCCTTGGGCCTGGTTTCTAACGCGCAGAGGCCCCTTCCATGCTGTTTTGACAGTGTAAAAGGGCCTTCAAAGGATGAATGGCTCTGGCTACATTAGCAAGCATTGTGGCCCAATAGAAGTAGATCTTTAGCGCAAAACAGTCGTTAATGAAGACCTGACGTCCACACTGTAGGCATTTTGAGGGGGGTCCTTTCAGCTTAGCTCTAGCCTGGCCCCATGGAATCAGCCATTGGAGCACATCAGGTGTGGTCCTGGAGCACCTCTCCCCTCGGGTTTCAGGCAAAGCTGGGTCTGGTTCCGTGCTCCAAGACTTCTCTGAGTGCTGTGAGAGGGGAGGATGAAGAGCTTCACTTCAAAAGCTGGCTCCCGATCCAAATTACAATGCATGCTCCATGAAACTCAAGTTCCTTTGATGTCCCTTTTATTCTCTAGAGCGGTGCAGAGGCAGTGACCTCCGCTTAATGAAAGTCAGGAAGGGAAAATTTAGCTTTATGTTTAAAAGCGTAACACTGGGCTGGCTGTATCTGTGGGTGAGGTCCTGACAGGTCTGCAGGTGAAGGGAAATGAAGCATGGAAGTAGAGACCATGTGCCTTTTCTCTGCTTAGATGCAGCTTTGTCACAGGTGCCACAGTGGTAGGTGCTTTTCTCTTAGGGCTTCAGTTCTAGGAATTACATGATTACATGTGCATTTGGGGACAGAGTAATGATAACTCATGATTCTTGTAAATTTGGGGTTGGCTCTCCTGTGTCCTCACGCCTTGGCAAGAGTAGCGACGTGAGCTGTGCACAGAAGTAAAATCTTCCTCCTGACAGACCCTCCTTACCTGTTCAGTGTGTTCAGTTAATGTCTGCTGTATTACTCTAGAGAGTTGTTTACCTGCACATAAATTTGCCAACGTGCCTTTGACCCTGAACTCCAGCAGCTGGTTGAGCTTCTAAACATCTCTAATAATCAACTATGTCAAGAACCAGCATTTCTTCTTGTAGCTACTACTCATAGGACTGGAATACTTACCGTTCTCCATCCTCCCATTAAAAAAAAAAAAAAAAAAAAAAAAGCATGAAAAACTGTTGCATGCACATATAATAATATGTAATAATAAAATAATAATAGAGCCAGCAAAACAAGTGAAAACAAGTGAGAAGAAAAAAAAAACTCTATTCATTTCCAGGCTGCATCTATTAGATGCGTTCATCTGCTGTCGCTAAGCATCCATTCATGCGCCTCCTGTTTGATATGCGTAGGCAGGATGTAAAGAGTTATTGTAATAGGGCTCTGCAGCAAATTCTGCTTGGACGGAAAACTTTGAATGCATCTGCTCTTCCAAGTTTTCATTGAGGTGACTGCATTAATTTCCATGAATCTGATGCTATCTCATTCTTAGCAAGCAAATATTTTGGCCAGTATGATGTCCCAGATCTAGATGGCTGGGCTTGATAATCGCTTGCTTAAACCTTGCAGGAAAGTTTCAGTGCCTTGGAAGGGAGAGCAACAATTCTGAATTTTAAGTAAGCAGATACCATTTAGTCTAAAACCAGGCACTCTTTACTGAAAGAATTGACAGATTTTGACTGGTTTGGAGTTGCCCACTTAACTGGTGCTGGCCCTGAACAGAATTGTCTGTTTTTCTGTAGTAATCTTTCAATTTTGAACCCACTTCACTGAAATATCATGCTGAAGGAATGAATTCCTCCTGAGCTCTGAACTTCATAAGCTGGAATTTCCTCAGTACTTGGCTTATTAGAAAACAGAGAAGTTTAGATTTTCCATTACCCTGCACTTCGGGGAGTCATGTGCACCAGTGTATAAGGTGTCAGATATGCTATCATTCCTAATTAATAGTGTTTTGAACCAATTTACACTCATTTTGTCCTGATGTTAGTGGCTGCATAAGGTGTAAGGATCTGGTTTCGATTTTTGTAAACCTGTACATGCAATTCCATAATTAGTTTTGACATTCGTGGCTGTTTGTAGGATTTGTGTGCAAGAGTCTGCAGACCAGAAACTTTAACCCAGGAGTCATCATCCCATGTGTAAGTCCTGTCAGCCAGTGGAGTTACATCAGGGTTGAGTTTGGCTCCCAAATTGGAAAAGTAAAAAGAGAAAGTGTGCTCATAGCCTTTCCCACATGATGCTCCTTGTGATTTCTCCTACCTCCAAGTCCTTGCTGGTAAAAGGAAATGTTTGTCCATAAGCCTACAGTTTTTTCCACCATGGCAGCCTATGATGAAATTGTATAGCTGCTAATTTGAGTAAAAAGCAGTCCTAATTGTGGAAACTTGGCTTTCAAAGCCCTGTCCTCATCCAGGACCAAGCACTAATGCAGGAGTTCTCTTTGTAGAGAAGCTGAAAGATGATTATTGCAGGGACTTCTCTCCTGACTGTTGGTGGATGTGTCTGAAAAACAACGGCACAATAATAATTCTGTATTTTGATTTCTCTTTACCTTTTATTCTAGATTCTTAATAAAATTTTTGCATATATTATGTAGGCAAGCTGAGTTGGACACTTAAACCACAGCTAAATAGACAAGCCAGCAAATAGGGAGGCAATGTCACACCAGTAGTGCAGGTGGGTGAAGTGAGACAGAGGGAGAAGTTATTCACAACGTGCCCGGATTTGTTCATTACCAGCGTTACAGATCATGGAAGGAAGAGGAGGGCACCTTTGCTTCCCTCTCCCCTATTCTATCCCATTGCTACATTTTATTCTTCAGATGTTTTCAGCAGGTGCATCCCTTTCTGCACTGTCTAAAATTATTCAGTTATTCACATCTCTTTGTGCAGGGGTGGCTGTGAGCCATATTGAAACGGATACAAGTTTTACCACTGATTTGATTCCAAGTCCCCCTGTTGACAATCCCTGCTTCCACCTAATTAAGCCAACAGCAAGTTGACTTTCAAATAGATCCCTGTCAACAAACAGGAGATGCTAAGCTGGGGAGCAGCTGAGCGTGTGTCGTCCCTAACACCAAAGGGAAATGAGATCACACAGCCTGGGATGGCTGGAAGAGTAAATTTACAGTCCTGGTGTCCTTGCTGAGGATCCCAAATAACCTCTGCCTGAGGATCACAGTGCCCTTCGCAAAGCAGTGCTGAAAACAGTCGCGCAATGGGAGATGGTTAAAATTTGCATCGCTGATTATAATAATTGATGACTCAGTCCATACTTACTTGAGTAGTTTAGAGAGTGCACTATGTGTTACGCACAAATTGTTTACCTAAAACTTCTTTCCTAGGTGCATTCAGTCATTAAGATCTTGATTTTTTTGCCTTTCATTTGGAGTGGGCAGCAATCCTTAAAGCAGAACAATGAATCTTGAATAATAAGCAACTTCCTGGGATGAATACCCACGCATTCTGGGTCATACACAGTTCCAAATTTTGTGACCCCCAGGAATGTAGGGATGAACTGTGTGAATTGCGTCCTCAGCTGATATAAATCAGCTTAATGTTATGGAAGATATTGGAGTTACTCCAGTCTACATCAGCTGAAACCCTGATCTTGTGAATGTATTAGCAAAAACATTAGTGAATCAGTGTTCAACTGGGTTTTCCTGTTCAACCACTTCTGCTGATAGCACTTTATTGACAGTAGCTGCTATTAGATGTATTGTGTAGGTGGAGTAATGTTGGTGTTGGGCAGTGAAGTGCCTTTCTTAATGCCATGCCATCTGATGGCATGGAGCCACAAGATGTTCCAGTTCAGAAAGAGCCATCCGCTGGTGTCAAAGCTGCCAGGTATCGAATCCATTTTCCCCTGTGAAAAAGATTCAGGGCATGTTCTTTTCTATATGTTTATAGCCCCCTCCTTTCCAGGCGTGCAATGATCCAGGCTGAGATACATTTCCAAACGCAGGTCCTTGCAAACTTAGCAAAGCTGGGCTTCGCAGAGCAGCTCAGTCTGATGTTCCCAGAGTCTGGGACTTTACCCTCTCCTCTAATCACCAGTAAGCCCAAGGCTTCACAGTCTTGAAGGTTCTACAATTTCAAGCAATAAATCCATGGTGGGAGCAGAAATAGATCTGAAATCTCCTGAGGCTGGTTTCTCTCTTCTAACCACTAAGCAACATGTATTTTCTTTTGTGAGGGTTTGATCCAGATGTAGTGCAGGCAGAATAG